CAGATTTTAATATCACTACTAATTAGAAACCATGTCAGAAGGAATAAAGTAAAACAAAGTCAGTCATGACAAGACCATCACAAGAAGCCAATGTGGAGGCACAGAAAGTTTACCAAAGTTCTGAAATTTAAAAGGACACACATGCAAGAGATGAAAAGAAGATTAAGTCATTCATAATGGAATGTAACATCCAGTGAGAATTTACAATAAAAGGGAAAATAGCATTGTAAAAGAGGTAGCACTGAGATAGATACCCTGGAAGTAAGCAATGGGACAGCATATACTGTAGCTCTGTGATGGTGAACCTATGACACGCGTGCCACAGGTAACACACAGAGCCATATCTGCTGGTACATGAGCCGTCAGCTCCAGCACGCATGTACACACGAGCCAGCTGATTTTCTGCCTTCCGGAGGGCCGGTTGTTTTCGCCCTCCCTAGGCTTCGGAGGCTTTCCTGGAGCCTGGCCGAAAACAGCTTCTGGTGGCCCACAGGAAGAAATACCAAGCTCAGCTTGCAGGCGATCAGTGCAGCGTGCATGGGGAAACAGCGTGTGTGGGGGTTGTGTGTGCATACACATGTGGGGCGCACTTTGCATTATGGATGCTGGTATGTGCATGTACTATCGTTTTTTTGGCATCGAACAACAAAAAAGTTAGCCATCACTGCTGTACTCCTTATAAATCCTTTTGCCTTACAAAATGTTGAGGCAGGGAAGGAATATGCATTTATCTATGCATTTAAGGCAAATAAAAATAAAGTGGGAAAGAGGACTGGGAGACAGTCTTTGTGAAATAGAGAAGGGGGAGAAAAAGGACAGGGAAAAGGGGCTGAGAAGCTAGCTTGTAGGCTTTTATGTACATACTGTATTGCTCAGAAGGGGGGAGAGGGGAGACAGGAAAATGAATATATTTTTTCACTGCAGTGACTGCACAATTCTTGAGGACTGATGGAGCCTCCAGGCTGGAAGGTGAAAAGAGGATCCCTGTCTACAGGGCTTGACACTATTTTATGTTAGATCATTTCAGATTATTCAGGAAATCTTTTGCTTCTCAGTTTAAGAGGGAAATGTACTTCAGAGGCTGTGTTTGGCTCCTCAAAAGCCAGGCAGCATCCTTGGGACTGTAATGCAATTTAAACTTTGTGAAAGAACTCAACAATCTTCTGCTCACTTCATGTTTACACTGTTTAGGCTAAGTTCAAGTCATTAAAGAGACATGGCTTCGAATGACTCAGAAACGTACAATGAACATATTAGCAGCTGCAACAAGATGGTCAACTCATATTTTAGCTCTGTCTACTTAAAATATAATTCATGACATACTCTATAGAAGGGTTGTTTAGGACAGCCGCCCCCAACCTTTTGGGCACCAGGGACTGATTCCCTGGAGAGAGGTTTTTCCACAGACAAGAGGGTGTGGTTTCATGTGCTGCCTGCATGCCACGGATGGGGCTTCCCTTGTTTTCATGGCCCAGTTTGTGGCATCCTGCAGATTGGTGCTGGTCCACAGACCAAGGGTTGGGACCCCTTATTTAGGGTTCCAGCTCTAAAAGGGCCATGGTTGCTCTCACTTTAAGGGATATGCTATTCTCAGAGATACACCTGAGCCTTACATTTCTGGCAATCAGGAAGACATCAAAACCTTTTTTTTAAAGGTCATCTGGCAACTACGTAAAAAAACCAAGGACAATCTTTTAATTATGTTATAATTATCAGTATGGTTACTATTTCTATGCTACTATTTATTGTAACCTGACAATATTGCAGCATTTTGACTGTGGTCACTATAATAATTTAAACAAACACATCAATATAAATATGTTTCATCAGACAACCGTAAAGGGCAAAACAGAAATTGAGATTTATACAAAAATGGTCAGCGTATAATCATTCATTTTGAAAGCATAAATAAATAAATTAGGGGTCTCCAACTTTGGCAACCTTACGACTTGTGGACTTCAACCCCCAGAATTCCTCAGCCAATATGTGCTGGCTGATGGATTCTGGGAGTTGAAGTCCACAAGTCATAAAGTTGCCAAGGTTGGAGACCCCTGGCATAAATCATAAATTTCATCCTAGAATGCTGAATAAACTTGCTGATTGTTGGTTGAAACTTTATGAATTATCTTGAGAAAACTTGTATGGATTAATGGTTTAAGTACCAAATGAATTGAGGATGATACATAGTCCAGAAAAAGAAAAAGAGGGGAAGGGAGGTTAATGAAATTCATACTATTTAATAACAATATCTGGAAAACTTCTAGAGCAAATTATAATGGGATCAATTGGAAAACCCTCAGAAAGAATAACATGGATTTGCTAAGAACAAGTCTTAGCAGAGTAAACTTTTTATTCTACTTTAATAAGGTAAACTCATTAGTAAATTGTAGCTTAATATCTTATTTTTATTTCATTTCATTTTTATTTCAATGCATTTGGCAATATAATAAATGCTACTCATATTTGTAAGCCAATAAATTATGGGTAGAATGGATATTAAATTAATATATATAATTAAATTAATATATAGCTGGCTTGGAAATCCCATGAAATTGTTCTATAAGATTCAGTCTCATATATTATATTTTTCAACATTTTCATGAATGAGTTTTATGAAAAAACTGGGAAAATTTAATAAATTTGGAAATGTTACCAACCCATTTAAGATAGTTAATATAGCAGAAGGCAGAAAAATAAAGGAAAGTTTGATAAGACATAGAAATTGACTGAAAATATTAGAATGAAATTTAACCAAGGCAAAAGTACTTTTACCTTATGGGTAAACTAAAGGTTGGTTGACAGTAGCAATGTAAAAAAGATCTGGATGTAATAGTTGATTAAAACAGAGTCAGTCAAAGAGGCAAATGCCATTTTAGGCTTCATTAACATAAAATAATAAGAGTAAGAACCTCATTTTATTTTACATTGGTCAAACCCAATATGACAGTATGCTGTCAAGCACACACTTTAAGGATTCAAAGTACGGTAAGTGAAAATGTTTAGAGAAATGGCTTGAAGATGATCAGAAATACCTGTGAAAAAAGAATGAAGAAGTGGCAGTTATAATATAACTGAGGAGGTGCCCCATGGAAGGTCAAGATCTGCTTTGCATCAAGTCCAGAGTGCAAAACATAGATTAATGGATTAATGGCCGATTCCTAACTTCCTATTAGTAAAAGCAGTCCATTAACAAAACTCATTTCAAAGGCAGCAGACTGTTCAGTCAGAGGTTAAACAACCATCTGTTTGAGATGTTTTAATTGAATCCTTGCAATAAATAGGGAGTTGGCTGCATGTCAAAGAAGGCCCCTTTCAATTCCACATGTCTATGAGTTTCTATGCAGAGAGATTTAAAAAGTCACATGAGTGGAATTATGATCAAACAATTGACCCAATTAAAAGCTTTGAAGCACATTTTTAATTAATTGCATTGTTAATATTTCAGCTTTCTACATAAACTAATTTTACCTCACATTCTGTCAATTTATGGAAAGAAATATCTTTTTATTAACATGGTAAAATGAGCTTAAAGTGAGATTATCATGCATGAACTATGATAATATATGTAGGTTTTCCTCCCAATAGTTGAACTTCACACAGTGAATCAATTTCTATGAATCTTTAGTTGGATGTAAGTTACATTGCACTGAATATAGTTTACTCCTAATTATATGTGAATATATTATTTCACACATACTATAAGTAATCTTGACAATATCATGTATGTATGTTTGTGGGCATTTTCCGAGAAAAGCAATGGATATTATAAAAAAAGTTAAATCATAGATAGGTTAACTCGGAATCTGTTTTCTTATATCTTTTTAAAGCTATTGCAAGAAACTGCATATAAAGAACTTGATGTGGTAGTCCTTGTTTCACTAGGGTGAAAATATATAAGAATGAAGATCTTTAGAGTATATGTGTGTGCCTCTAAAACATATTGTTGCCATCTGTCATTTTGAAAGGAAGACAGTTTATAAAGAAATGGACTTCGGGACAAATAAAAAAAAAAAGAAGACCAAGAAACAGGAAATCAAGGCAGATGTTTTCTGGAAGAAACCTAGAGGGAGAAATGCATTTCAGATATCTTGGCACAGCACTATGTTGCTTGTATTATAAATATGCAACATATTGTACTCACGAGAAGGGAAAGCATTTATTTTTTCTCAGTGGAATACTCAGCAACATCTCTTTTTCTAAAAGAAATTTTAAGTAATAATTAGACTTTATTTTAGGAAAAAATGTACTGAGATTAACAGATGTATGCAACTGGGCATAACGGTATAAATATCCAAGGGAGGAAAGCATGATACTTAATTGATATCCTTTCTATAAATACCATTATGTTGAAGATAGGGTATATCTTTAGAAGAGAATATTTGTAACTCAGGGCTAAATTTTTTGGGGGAGGGGGTCCTTGGTCTTTTTGAACTTGGTTGTTTTCTTGTAGACATTTCGTTATAAAATTGGATAACATCTGTTAAGTAAGCTCCCTGTTGGGAGAGCAAGTATGTTCAGAGAAGCGTTGTTAGAGTTGTGTTGGAGAACACACAAACCAGCATGCAGAGACACTGCAGTTTAAATAGGCTTTTATTTTCGTGGAAATAGAGGTATCAGAGTTCATCAAACAGTCCAAGTCATACATGGATAAGACAGTCAGTCATCAATGTCTTTCAGTTAAGGGATAATCCAAATAACATAGTCCAGTATCATATAATCAGTTCAGTACTCAAAGTTTGCTAGCAATTGCAAAACTTACAATAGCTCACGGCACTTTCTAACAGCCAGTTTCCAAAACACTCAGATCAGATCAGCCCAGCATCTAACAAACAGAGAGCTAACAATCATTCTGGCTCCCTCTTATGGCCAATTGAGGAAAACAGCTACCGATCACACATTTTACAGTATGATTTAAAGAAACAGGTATAGCATTGTTACATGATATATATATTGCCAACCCAACCGTTAGATTATATTCCTAACAATATCATAAGCTTCTGCTAAGAACCTCCTATACCACTGCACTGTGACCCAGCTGTAGCTTCCAAATATTCTTCAAGGGTAGCTCCACATAGAGCATATTGCTGTAGTCCAAACGTGAGATGACTAGGGCTTGAGTGACCAACCACAGGGACTTCTGATCTAGGAAAGGCAGAAACAAGATGAAGTTGTTCAAACACTCTCATATGTGAATGAGGCATTTTCTGTTTTTATTTTAGATATAAAAATATTACATAAAATTATTAATATCCATAATTGGATTCTGCTGCTTTATTTATGAATTTTTCATTCAATCTTTTTCCCCATACCTAAGCAGATAGTTTGAATTTCTTACAAATGAAACTCTTCCTTCAGATTAAAGCAGCTATGGAGTGGTTTCAATTGCTTATTTATTACTTGCCCTACTTAAGATTCCAGACAGTCTAAATGATGTCAATCACAATATACAGGTAGACCCCAACTTAGAACAGTTCGGTTAGTGACAATTCAAAGTTACAATGGCAATGAAAAAAGTGACTTATGACTATTATGACACTTACGACCATTGCAGCGTCCATATAGTCACATGATCAAAATTCAGATGCTTGGCAGCTGGTTCATATTTATAATGGTTGCAGTGTCCTAGGGGTCATGTGATCACCTTTTGCAAACTTCTGACAAGCAAAGTCAATGGGGAAGCCAGATGCATTTAACAATTGGGTTACTAATTCAAGAACTGCAAATATGCAACAAAAGTTGTAAAATGGGGCAAAACTCACTTAACAAATGTCTCACTTAGCAACATAAATTTTGAGTTTGATTGTGATCATAAGCCAAGAACAACATGTAGTACCTGTTGGGCAACTTTCATTCAGGGCAGAAAGGATTGTTATTACAGTTATAAGTTAGATATAGAAATTAATCCTGATTGGTGATCATAAAAGATATTTCTTGTTCTTTGGGCAATCAGAATTTTACCTTTAATTTTGGCAACAACAGTCCTTTAGAATTATTAGGAGCTGCGTTTTCCAAAAGCAAAGTCTAGTATTTAAGTATTTTGATTATTTGAACCCCATTGTTCATTGTGAAAATTATTTTTCAGTACACATATTCACTCTGTGAATATTTTTGTCACAGTCACTACTGATCTTTTAAGTAGGCAAGATGATTAATTAAGAAGAGGTGAAATATGAATAATGGTTTAACTCTGCTTGATGTTAATACATGATTGTATAACTTTATGAATGTCGCTTTTGGAAATCTTTTTAAAACCTTTTCAACATAATGGGCAAAGTCGGGCAACAGAACATCTTAGATGTGTATCATGCTTTTGTAATGAATAATATTGCTCTTCAGGTTTTGTTTCACATACATTTCACTTCAAATCTAAACTAAGCATATAACAATAAATAACTATTTAAGTTATTGTGCACTCTAATTTATGCATATTGATCAACTTTATCATTGTCTGCCTTTTTATTGCCATCAGTTTTCCAATTTTAGGAGTCTTTCCCAATGACTTTTACATTCATGCTTCTCCAGAATATCTAAGGTTTAACTTTATTTTTAATGCTTCCATTTAGCAATTGGTTTTATCTCTTATTTGTTGTGCGTGTAGTCCAAGATATAGTCAACAACTGTCTCTGGCAGAATTCAAAGGCTTTGCCATATAACTGCACTATATTATATGGCCTCGGTGGTGCAGTGGTTAGAATGCAGTACTGTAGGGTACTCCTGCTGACTGTTGGCAGTTCGAATCTCACCAGGCTTAAGGTTCACTCAGCCTTCCATCCTTCTGAGGTCGGTAAAATTAAGACCCAGATTATTGGGGGCAATATGCTGACTCTATAAACTGCTTAGAGAGGGCTGTAAAGCACTGTAGAGTGGTATATAAGTGCTATTGCTACCTTAGCTGAACCTTTTTTGCTCCCCATACACGGCAATATGCTAAAGAATGAATGAGGAAAAGGATGAAATTTTGATTAGTTGTCACTTTCAGCAGACTTCCATTGGTCATAATTAATAGTCTAATGGGATTTTAAAAACCGAGGAAGCTTAGGGAGTGCTGTGCAGTAATACCAACCTACCTTAAAGCACGTTGAGCAGGGCAAAGTTGCTCCTCAAAAGCAACTATGCCTTTTCTTTTTGGGTACTCAAGTATCCAATGGAAGAAATTTCACATCTTTTAGTTTTCAGCAATATTAAAGGCTAATTTATCTGCTATGCTGTCTAATTTGTTTTATATACAACCCTGGGCATAGAGATCAAAACTCTTCTATACCTCTTACCTGTCGTTTGCTAAAGGTCAGGAGAGCCTTCTATCCAAATATTGTCTTCGGCAGAAAGTTTTTCAGTTCTGACAAAGATATGCTGAGTATGTTCTCCAGCACAGTTTGCAAAAATTTGGAGTTGTGGCCCAGCAGGAACCGTTGGAGCTGCTACCAGACTCCGACAGCNTGTGTGTGTGTGTGTGCATCAGTGACTACAAATTTAACCCCTAAAATAACTTCTTACCTCAGCACCTACACAATATAATACAGGAAATTCTGTATTTCCCATCAAGATGCCTTTGGAGTCATTCCCAGTAAATACTAAACTCAAGTTTAAAATAATGGAGTGATTGTAGTAGAAATCAGTAATATTAATGCAGATACATTCAGATATTTGCATTCATTTTCAAGCTACTCCAATTAGAGAACAAAGTATTCAAACTCGTGCCATCTGTTCCCGTGGAAACCTTTTATTTGATTTTGATCAAAAACAGATGCAGGAATGCTTTTACAGATATTATTCTTGATTAGGAAGACTAGAGAAGACAATTCAGAAATCTTGATGAAATATGTTTGCTACTATTGGAAGAGCTTGATATAATTCTTGTACTTTCCATGAACAAGAAAAATTTCTTGTCTCCAAAATAAGGACATTTTCTAGGATTAAAACTTTGTCACATATTCTAAATTTTTCTTTTACAATCACTATTTATATTTTTTATCTTAAATCATTTTAATTTCTTTACATCTGGTTTTCCAACTAAGGGTATGACACATGGAAGGAAGAAGAGATAGGACCAAAAGTCATTACTATTAGCATAACCAGATCAACATTCCAGAAAATCTGTCTTTTTCATTGGCTGATTCAGCTGATGAGGTAGGGCAGGGGGATTTCTTTGAGGCCCGGATCAGCATTGTAGTTCTCCACGGGCTGGCCAGAGTGGGGAGATGGGATGGATGCCTCCTGCAGCATGCTGCCAGGCAAAATGGGGCAAGAGGAAACCACGTGAGCCCCCCCTGTCATTTTGGCTGTCACAGGTACTGTGAGCTGGTCCTTTGCTAGTTCCAGCCCAGTCCAGGAGGCCACATTTAAGCACCCGGGCCTTGAGTTTGACACCCTGATGTAGGGTAAGAGATACTTATATAACCGTATGAGTCTCATTGAGTGAAGCATGGATTCATCATCTCATTTAGTACAATCAACCTAGACTTGTAGCAGCTCTAGGTTTTCATGACAGAGCATTTGATCTAGCACCTGAAGAGCAAACAAGCAAAATGGCCTACATGTTTCATCAGTAGTTGTTGAGAAGAAGGAACAGAGTTTTGTGGAATCGGCTTCAACATCATGAAGATCTACTTTAATTAACTTTTGAAAATGCCTTATTGGCTACTGGATTCTTATGTAACCAGTGCTTACAATAGCCAATGCCTCTCCACAGAGGCACTGAATTTAATTCCTTCTACTATCTCCTTTCATCATGAGACTGACATTATAAAAACATGCTATCTGTTCAGTTATAGTGATACCAAAATATCATATAAGCATTTTGCAACCTTCTGAGAAACCTTTGCATTATGATATAGATAGAGAATCCAATCCATATTCAGTCTGTGCCACTTTCACATCAAAATTTCCATAAATCTTACTGGCCATAAAAGTTGCAGGAAAATAGAAAATAGAATGCTAACATCTCTGTGTCAACAATATGGAAAATATGGATTAAACTGAGTAGCCTAGAAAGTGGAAAAGATGTATGCTAGTATCAGAAAAGGGGAGAAGAAAGAGAAAGAGCAATTATTCAATCACTTGCTAATTTATCACGAAAAAAGAGTTTTGCTTATGCTGAATAAAGTCATACATGGAAAGAAAAATGTCAAATGAAATGGTGAGTATTAAATAGACAATGAAAAATAAGGGAATATAAGAAAGAAGTTTACTTTTGTTTCATTGGCAAATTCTTTAACAATATAGCATAATATGGAAAATATTAAGACTAGCAGAACACCTGATTATTCTTCTTATAAATTTTTAAAATGAAGTTCAAAATAAGGAAGAGAATAATAGAGGATGATAGAGGATGCCTATTGTCCTGAGATCTCTAATTTATACAGCAAATTTATAAAGAAAAGGAAGGATTGAACGTGATGCCAGCTGGAATCTAATTGGAGTTGAAAATATTAACAATTTTTGAATATGTAAATGCATATAACCAAGAAAGAAAGAAAAAAAAAGGGAATGTGGAATTGCACAACTGAAATAGAATAAGATCCTTTTGATTATGGATTTAATTACAGTTACTGTAGTAAGAGTATCAAAGAACCAGCTGGTCAGTCCTGAATAAGATAGAAAATCCACAGGATTCAGTTTCAAAGGTAAAAGTTGGCACTCTCATTGAACCTGTAAGTAGTTCCTTAAAAGAACCAGTTCATTCTATGCTTGCTTGGGAGTTATGTGGGCTTAGAAAAATAAGTTGAGGTAGACCTCTCACATAAACACAAACACAAGCGCACACACACACACACACACACACACACACACAC